GTATTTAGTGTAGATCGGATAACTGGATAATATATTGGCCAGATCCGACTACCTAATACTTATTCTATACGTGCAAGCTCCGGATCCACAGCATTTAGTGCTTGGCTGTGAAGATCCATCGATCTCTCAACTCCCCCCAAGATCCAGCCATCGGAGGCTGCAAGCAACTCAAAGGGATCGCAAGATCATCAACCGCCGACACACCAAGGCAACTAAACGGCTGGATACAAGATCCACCACCGGTGATCCACGTTCGACTGTTCACGTGGACTCCGGATCAACCCACTCGGCAGCAGAGCGAAGACTTTCCGCGCTGTTACCCCACATCCCTGCGTCTCGCCAAGACATTCAAGATCTTCAACACTTGGACCTCTCCTGCAGTTACCGGAGGAGCAAGATCCAGCCCTACCGACGGGTACACAAGGTGAGGAAGTTCAGCTGATCACGGATCAACAGGAGTACCCCCTCCTATAGTCGGTGTCCTGGGCACAGTGGCAAGCCGGATCCAGCATCTTCGCAGATTTTGCTGATCCCGCTCCACCACATAAACCTGATCATATTCTTGCATCAATGCACCGGAAATCGCCCAGTCACTGGCATATACAACCTCCACAGCTTGTCGATCCGGATCGAAGTGCCGCAGGATCGGCGTCTTCTCGATCTTCTCCTTTAGCACGTTGAAAGATCTGTGAGCGTGGATTCACCGGGGATCTAGATCCGCAAGATTGTCCTTCTCGGGATTCGACACCTTCCTGCAATCGGGCCTCGAATCCGGTGCCACTAGGTCCGGATCTTGCTTGCTAAGTTCAGGATCCAGACTCCGCGGATCCGGATCCGATGGTCGTGGACTTGTCAGGTCCTTAGTCAACATGTCTGGATCCGAGGATTCCGACGCTAGTGCTAGCTGGATCCGGCTTTGATTCGTGCCCTTCTCCATCGCAGCATAGTCGATCTCCCTCAACTCATACAGCACAGACGCGTAAATCGCGTAATCGTCGATGAAGCGACTGTAATAATTCAGGCTGCCCAAAAAGGAGGGCATTGTCACGCAGGGATCCGGGAAATTCGAGATCCGTCAACGCCGGCAGATCCTTCGGGTTTGCCTCCAGTCCATTGTGCGATACCTTATGACCGAGGTATTCCACATTGGGCATGCCCCAGAAACTCTTGACAACGCTGATCGACAAGTTCCATTTGTCGCACGCCTCCAGCAGATCTTCGACTCGGTCGCATAGCTGATCCCAATTATCCACTGGCACTAAGATGTCGTCGATGTAGGATCGGCGTCCTAACACCGATGGCTTACCCGGATCTTCGGGTTCTCCGGCCTCAAATACATCCAGATGCTCCAGATCACCTCCCATTTTTGGGATCCGAGTGAACCCACACAGGGCATTGTCGATCATCCGCTGGTAGATCTGCGGCGCATTCTTCCGCCCGAAAGGTATCCAATTCCATTCGAAAAGTCCAAATGGGGTAATAAAGGCCGAGATCAGGCGGGCCCGATCCGTCATCTTCACCACCCAGAATCCGCTAGCCATATCCAGTGCGCAATACCATAATGTAGACTCGAGATCCTCCAGTAGATCGTTGATCAGCGGCATCGGGTAAACCATCAGCTGTGTAAGACTGTTAACCAACCGAAAATCAATGC